CAACAATAAAAGAAGAAAAAGAAAGAAAACCAAAATATCCGTGTGCTTATTTGTTGTTTTGGTTCACATCTATTAATCATTTTTTTCTGATCAGTTCTCAACCTAGCTATGCAGGTAACAGCAGTTTCTAAACAATATCTCAAAGGATTCATATCAATACCTAGATGTACTTATGTTTCCAATTAAGCACAGTTGACGGCAGACTCTCTAGGGAGAACATACCACATCTAAGATTTATAGGATAAAAGAAGTTATTGATAAAAATGAAAATATATTTCTTAACTAGAAAAATGTTCTGCTTTTCAAGCAGTAAAAATAGACACCAGTAATTCTTAATAGTTCCTGCTAAAGAAGAGAACAATGCTAACAAATATTGCTATTTAAAAGATGACAATGTGAGATTGAAAGATGAAGAAAAAAATTTCAAATCTCAGTTATGATTACATTTATAGCAGGCCAGGCGTGGCGGCTCCCGCCTGCAAGCCTAGCACTTTGACTGAGGCGGGAAGATTCCTCCTTTAATGTAGAGTTATTACATTTTCTACTTGTTTTTTCTTCTCTTAAGATGGTAACTTTTTAATCAGATTCTTCTCTGCATAGAAAAGAACTTTAAAGCAAATTACGTTTGTATGTGACCTTAATATGGCAGCACAAAATAATTACGACAAAGTCATTTGACCCTAGTCTCAAAAAAACAAATTGGAAAAAAATTTGTCTGACTTTGTTTCATCTCTGAAATACAGTGCAAAAAAAAAAAAAAAAAAAAATCAAGAAATATAAACCAAATGATCTAGCCTGCCTCCTACTGCCAAATGATGAGGTTGGTCCTGCAAGATGATAAAAAATCATTGTTATTCTTTAATTATGGTATTAAAACAGCACAGGATGCATGTCAGGGGAGCAGCAATAGTACCACTGGTGCTAGTTGTGTCACCTTGAGCCAGTCATTTCATCTTCTCAACTAACACATCTTCAAAGTTCCCTTCTGGTAATATTCTATCACAGCAACTGTTGAATATGCATGCATGCATAACACACACCTTACTTGTATTCTTTGGTATAAAAATCTTTTTTTTTTTTTTTTTTTTTAAGAATAGTGTCTACCTATATTTCCCAGGCTATATTCAAACTCCTGGACTCACACAATCCCCTTGCCTTAGCCTTTTGAGTAGCTGGAACTACAGGCATGCACCACTCTGCCCAGCAAAACTGTTGTCTGAAGGTATTATCCCAAGATATAGAAATGATGTACTTTACTATGACACATGCCAATTTTTATTTTTTGATAGTCAACAAAGATTTTAGTGTGATCTAAAATTACAACTAAACAAAAAGAAAAATAAAACATACTGGACCCAATGTTTTTGTTTTTTTTTTAAATTCTTGGGATGCAAGTATAATGGAATTTAGGTAATTCACATATTATTTAAAATATCATTCCTATCATTTTTAATTGTTTATTTATAGATCAGTTATCACTGTTGACAACTGACAGTTCAAATTTCACTGGGTTTTTATTTATATGTGAAATAGACGAAAAGTTGAAGGCTAGAAGACATAAAAGATAGATTTAGATAATTCATAAATTAGACACTGAGCCTTTAAATAATTGAAAGCAAAATGGATTTAGACAGCCAAAATCAACCTTAGAATAATCATTGCTTGTGCCTATGAAAAAGTCATATTTTTTAGGAAACTTAGGATGACTAAATGATTGCATCTTATTTCAAACTTAATGCATAAGGCACTTCAAGTGTATTTCACACCTATTTCATAGGGAGCTCTGAATATACTCTGAGCATAGAAGCAATATGGAACATAAAACAAGTCTTTAAGATTCAAATAAACTAAAGTTTAAAATATTATTCACTTTGGAATATCATGGAATAATAATCTACATTAAGACCAGCAGACATAGTGCTGTACATCTGTGAGCAGAGCATTTCTGCTTCACCAATATTCTGTTTGCATTTGATCTTATCAGCTGTTTAGTCAATAGCTGAAATATTTATTCATAGTCAGTCAACTATAACACTAGGAAATCAGCCATTGAATAAACTCTTCTATTAATTTTCCATCAGAGGTTCATGTTTGAATGACCATGCATTTCATAGGTTTGAATACTGAAAGGCTAATTATCCCAAAGGCCCCATTAAAAGGAGAGCATAGATCGCAATCAAAAAACAATCCTAATATTGCTCAGCTCAAAAATGATCTTCAGCTTTCAGTGCTAAAGAATACTTCAATTTCTCTACCTATTACACACACTAAGAGTATAGGTCACTTACATATGACTTTCAATGCTGAAGAATATTTCAATTTCTTCTACCTATTGTACACTAAAAGTATAGGTCATATACCCTAAAGCAATTTGTTTCCCAAACCTTAGAAAAATAAAACTGGACAGTTTCTTAAACACAAAGATCCATTGTGTTATACAGTAAAATGCAAATTAAAAGTTTATCTTCTTAACTCTGTTCAATGTTCAAATTATTTTTCCTTTTAAATGACTGTCTTGCAAAATGCCCTTATTATTCTTATTCTTTTTTTTTTTTTTTTTGAGTTGGAGTCTCACTCTGTCGCCCAGACTGGAGTGAAGTGGCCGCTCCCGGCCACCGCAGCCTCCACCTGCTGGGCTCCGGTGATCCTTCCGCCTCAGCCTTCCAAGCAGCCGGAACTACAGGCATGTGCTACCACTCCCGGCTGATTTTTTTATTTATTGTAGAGATGAAGTCTCGCTGCCCAGGCGGGTCTCGAACCCGTGGCCTCAAGCAATCCACTCACCTCAGCCTCCCAAAGGCGCGGGATTACAGGCTGAGCCACCGAGCCTGGCTTATTATCCTTATTCTAATGGCTTTAAATTTAGGATAAAATGTACAAAATGTGCTATCTTTTTCATTTTTTAAAATAATTTCTCATCCTCAGAAAAAATCTTGAGAATAAAAGTGGTAAGAATTGAAAAGTTATAAGACATGCTATCCCCAACACTGCACTTTAGCATTTGAGAAAACAGCAGAAGCAGGAAGGCAGCTCTCATCTTCCCCTTGCCCTTCTTCCCTGAAGCAAATCATAAAACTGAGGAAAAATTTTCTAACCTTTCCCTGAAGCAGGTCATAATATCCTCCTTAGAGAGATGCCCTCCCTGTACCTGTAGGAAAGGATCTGAAGACACAGAGATGCCAAGAAGAATCTGAACAAACAGGCCTTGCTAAGTTTCTCCAGTTTATTACCATTAGATCATTCTCCCCTTTGCCCAGTCATATTTCCCCATGACTATCCACTTTATCAAAAGCATAAAAATACACGGGTTTGCCTATTTCTTTGAGTCATTTTTCCAAAGGCTCCAATGTCACACATAACTTTTATTAAAATAGTTTTATGTTTTTCTCTTGTTAATCTGTCTTTTGTTACAGAGACCTTAGTCATGAACCTAATGATAGGTCAGGAAAATCAATCTTTCCTTTCCTGCAGAATCAACACATAATAGACAAGTTCAGACATCTACAGATTTAACTGACTTATAGGAACCACTTATAATGCATTCTTGTGTGCTGAGGAGACTTGGAAAACATCAAACCCAATCAAAGTGATCAGTACACATGCCCAGAATGAGAGTATAAATGAAAGAACCCGAATCTACTCAACAGTATTTTAATCTACCTGAAGTTTTAATGTACTAACATTTATTAATCAATATTTTCCACTAGACGGTAAAAGCCTAGGATAGGGACTGTGCTATATTTGTTTTGCTCACTAATATTTGTTGAGGAGATGAAGAAATTCATGTATGAAATTTTTAAATAGAGCAGCTGGAAGAAAAAGAATTAGCAAGCCAGAATTAAGCAAATGACTGTAGCTACCATACAGAGATATCTCCATTTATTAAAATGTTTACTGTACTGTGCTTTTTACAATCTGACTAAATTTTTCCCAAGGTCTTCTAGTTCCTTTTGTTATGATTTTACGCTCACTAGTCACTTCTTGATTTTAATCCAAGCCTCAGTTTTATAATACCCAGGAGGATAGAGGATGTGAATATTCAGATCATTAGAAAGGTATAAATGATGAAATTTAGTGTTTACATCAACTTAACCTTTTAAGAATTTCAAGTTAAAAAAATCACTGCCTCAATATTATGTTCAACCTTGAATTAACTCCTAAGATTTAGTTTAGACTGCCAGTCTCATAGCCATTAACTTGGTTCCTGAATGCTTCTTCTTTAAAAATGTTTTGCTATGTATGCATGAAGAATAAAGTTTACAGTCAAACAATTTTCATATTTTTTTCACCTTCCTTCTTCCTCCATTCCTTTCTTGTAAAAAAACACTAGGGGGTCTGCTTCTATGAGTGTTCTCTTTCATACAAAACCCACAAACATAGGAATGGTTTATTGCTTAGAAATAAATTAGAACATGTTAGCCAGACAAAAATTGCATTTGCATTGGCATAAACATTTTTTGCAATCATTGAGAGAGTAAGATAGTTCACACGCATATCTTCAGCCAATAAACAGTTCCATTTTGGAACAAAAACATGATATTCCAAGTATCCTGGACTACTTGCTGTCTTAAAAGACTTTGATTTGAGTTTCTTTGCTTTTTTTCCCCCAACCACTAGATGACTAGAGAGTTTCATTTCTGAATGACTTGTTACTCAAATATCAGCCTGTCCACAGTGTACATGAAATGCTTTCATACCCACCTCTGTGAAAAAAAAAAATTAGAGGTTTTTATATGACGCCCAACTCACCTCTTAATGATGATCAAAATATTCACATCCCAAGTTGCACCTCCATTTTATTCTGTGTTCCTCTTGACAGAGCATTGGCACTGCCGTTTTTTTAAGCACACACCCTTCCGTGTATTCTCATTTCCACCCTTCATGCCCTCGCTGAAAATTCTTTAGTTCAACAGGGTACATGTTTCTAACAGATGTCCATACATTTTATCGCAACAGAGACATTCAACAACTTAACACATTTATAAAAACGCAGAAAGTACCTGGACATAGGCTCTGCAAGAGCGCTCTCTTTTCTGAAGCTGAATCCATTAAGACAGCAGATTCAACACAGGATAGAAAAAACAAGTTAGTGACAGAAGAAAACAAGAAAAAAATCCAAGAACACATTGACACAAAACACCTTATTTTGTCTTTCACCATCTTCTAGAAGAACAGTGGAAGCTAAGCAGCAGCAAAATGTAAGCAATGGCTTGAAAAAGAGTAGCCAACATCCCTCCAGAACAACTTAAGTGAAAATTGGATGGTATACAGCGGTTAATGATAGCAAGAAATCTTTGAATAAATTTAGTATGAATTAGTGAAAATCAATATACTTCATTGGAAATGATTCATTTCACATCAGGTTAGTTAATTATTTATGAGCAACAAATGAAGACATATGAAGTTAAAGAAATTACATCAAAAGTTGGAACCCATTTTTCAAAGATAGATTATTTGTGGTCTACAGGTAAGATACACGGATAATGTGCACCACAAATCGTGTTTGCTCATACATACAAAAAATTCTATTTATTGGGAAAATAGAAATGCCCATTTATTATGACTATTTGAGTCAAAGGGAAAAATACCAAAATGGAAGTAATTTAAAAGATGAAAACAATGTGATTAATCTCTTAATTTATCTGTTTTTACTTATTGAAAAACTTCATTTGACAGTTTCTACCAAAATAAACCAAATTATGCATTTTAGCAACTTTGGCGGGGTAAGAAGCCTATTTGTGTTTGTTTGCACAGAGTGATGTTTTTCTGGGCAAAAGGTTGACAGCAACTCATATTCAGTTCCCCCAAAATTTCCCTGCTGATGAAATGAAGTTTATTCACCCTGTTCAAATAAATGAGCCATAATTTCATACATTAGATTGTGGATTTTTCTCTTTCTCTCTCTCTCTTTTTTTCTTCAGTAGCCTTGATTGTTGAAGGAGAAAATTACTCAGTTTTAAGAAGCAGTTACTCTGATGCCTTTTGTGTGGCTAAGACTCTCCCAACTCTAATTCATGCATTCTTCAATGAGCATAGAGCAGTTACTCCTCTAAAGAATTAAGTGAGGAATGAGTGAGTGCAAGTAAATTGCCAGGGCTGTCATTTGGATCACTGACTCGCATCATGGTTTGCAGGACTCTAAACCCTCCAGAATTTCAATGGGGCGCACGATTGATTTGTATGGAGTTGACTTTACACATCCGATGGGTTATAGCTGCTTCAGGGAAAGTGGGAACCACAGGAAATGAGAGCAAGCCAGCAAGCACGTGAATAACCTTTGCCCTCCCATCTCCTCACCCCATCATGCAAATTAACATATGACAAACCACATTATATAAACAATTGAAAAGAGCCAAATGGGAAACAAAAGAGAACATTAAAAAGCTTCACAAATGGAAATTCGCCCATTATGTAGTTATTTGATATTCAGAGTAGGCAAGCTGATTAGCTGTAGCCAGTTAGAATGTGACATTAATTGCCAGCTCTACCTGATATTGTCAGACATCAATACCATTTTTAAATAAAGATACAAAATATTGCTATAACAAGTCATGTTATGGATATGTAACGTTAATAGAAATGACTACTTCCAGTACATTATGATAACAATAGCTGGCAGCAATATTCATTAATAGCATCCAGTCAGCCAGGGCAATAACACATTAAAAACACAGCATGCCCAGATTATATAGGCAGCTGTGGATTATATTCTATCAGGGGATTGGTTACGATTCTATCAGGGGCATAACTGACAAAAATAACTCCTTTATGCTCAGCATGAAAAGAACTTTAATAATTCATATCAAATAGATAAAATTGTTTAACTGTTTTCTACAGATGATATCACAGACAAACACCTGGATTTGCCAAATAAAACATCTGGGTTTTCTACGTTAAACAATTGTTATTTTAAAAATTTCTTTCATTCTGGTGAGCAAAATTCTTATCCTAGTAAGACACAAAAGAATTAAACATATTAAAAGATCATTCTGTGGAGTCATTTTTCATTCTAAAAAGGAATGTTATTTTAGTGAATTCCATAGAGGAACATTAGTCTGTCACTGTCAAATTCTTGCCTTTTTTTTTAAAGTAATAAGACTACCATGATATTCAAGGCCCCAAAATCAAGTTTCAATCAATGAGCATCTCTGCTATGCAAATACCATTCAGGGTATACATGTTATTTGATAGTAAACAATGCTGATGTTTTTCAGCATGTGATATTCTGTTCCATAAATAAATAATATTCCATACAAATATGTAAAATATATTTTGTTTAATCAATAAATGCTCATTTTATTTATAGAAATATAAATAAAAATTCATAAATGCACTGTATCTGAAACTTTAAAAATCCTTTCTTTATTTGCAATTCAAATTTTGGGGAATATATTTAAACTTTTAAAATTTTAATAAGAGTGATGCAAAATCTGAATGATTTCAAAAATCAAAAGGAAATAAAAATTAAAACTTATTTACTTGCCTGAGCTTTAAAAAGTACTAATAGGTAGATTATCTCAGTTTAAAAATATCTATGGTAGATTATTAATATTCTCTTGTTACTATTTTTAAATTTCTACTTATTGATTATACATTTGTTTAACTGTCAATTATTTTAATATAAAGGTTTGAAGGAGGGGTAAGAAACAAAAGAAACTGCATGCATCCACTGTAACTTTGTCAGAATTTAGCATACAAAACAGAGTAACTACCATGGAAAATAGAATTGCAAATTCAAACTACATATGGATAGATGATCATTCATTACTTCTTTAGATTAAAAGCAAATAGTTCCATTATTATAATGAAATGGTAAAATGAATTGAATATAACTAGTGATTTCTTTTTAGAATCAGATTGTGTAGGAGGACAAAAATTAAGCAGGGAAGCCTTCCTGAATGTACTACTTTAAAGATATGCATAACTGGGGTCCTTACCTTGTTCAAACTCCGTGCTGCACTATCTTTTCCACCTGGAGTCAGGTTCCGGAGCTGCACATCCAAGAGACCAACCAGCTGGTCCATGGCACGGACAGAGTAGGTGATATCCCCAGCGTTCAGATGATTTCTTGTCTGTTCAGCCAGTTCCCTAGCAATGTTGGCAGCTGTCTCTCCAGATTTCAACTACAGTTTTGAAACAACAAAAAGGAAAGCGATCTTATACAAATACTTTCCTTGGTCTCTTTTTGACAATTGTTTTTGCATGTAATTTTTATTCACTGATTCAAGAAATAGTTGCTACATGTCATCTTCACCTGAAATGCACCCCCTAGTTTTTCCTGTGAATTCATCTTTTTCTTCAAAACCCGACTTCAAAGTCATGTCTTCAGAAGACTCTTCCTGAGAAATCTTGCTCCTAAAAATTATTCTTACCTTAATCATCTATGTGGGTGGTTAAGTCTAAGATTTGCTCCATTATTTTTTCTGTGTTTCTAAATTGGACTTTGTTGAGTGTGTTGTGATTCCCCAACCATATTTTAAGTTCTCAGAGGCAAATACAAATTTCCCTTTGCACCTAGTTTAGCACTTAACTCACAATGAAAGTCATCAGTTGCTTAAATTCTGCAAAATTCTACTCCAAATAAAAGTCCTGCTTTACAAAGTGATTTTCACCTTCTTACTAATGACATAATAAGAAACTTCACTTACACTAAGTAGCAAACTATTGTTTAGTTTCAATTTTTTTCTAAACATACATGCTGATTTTTCAAGTATATTCTACAAAAATGTATCAAATTGTTAACCTTTCAAAGGTGTCAAAAGAGAAAAAGGCAAGTACTTCATGATCATTTGAACAAATTTGATAACCATGTCTAATAAGAGATAGAAATTTATATTAACTTATAAGAAAGTCATGGAAAACAAGAGAAAAAAGAAGTAAATAAGTGCAATTTCCCAATTTATAATTTTCTTTATCAGTTTGAAATTAAATTAGTTCTGTCATATTCTCTTAACAATGCCTAGCTTGCCCTCTAATCAAAGACAGAACCAGTTTCTCAGAGGTAGCTATTGATAATTGTTCCACCCATAAGAAGCAAGTATCCTAATCAGTCTTTTGCTACCTTTATGACACAGATGGAACCCATCACCATGGCTACAATTATATGACCGGCCCACCTATCTGCCTGCCGCCTGTGTGGCTCAGCCTGTAATCCCGCGCCTTGGGAGGCCGAGGTGAGTCAATTGCCTGAGCCCGCGGGTTCGAAACCCACCTGGGCAACTTGGCGAGACCTCATCTCCACAATAAATCAAAAAAATTAGCGGGGCGTGGTAGCGCGCGCCTGTAGTTCCAGCTACTTGGAAGGCTGAGGTGGAAGGATCGCCGGAGCCCAGCAGGTCGAGGTGCGGTGGCCGGGAGCGGCCACTGCACTCCAGTCTGGGCCACAGAGTGAGACTCTGACTCAAAAAAAAAAAAGAAAAGAAAAGAAAAGAAAAGAAAAAAGAACACCACCCAATCACCTGGTCCCACAAAAGGGTGGGTTTAAAGGCATTCAACATCAAGCAGTCATTTGCCATTGCTTTGCAAAGCTCTGGTCTGGCCATGTGGCTCTTTGAACTATGACACCATATTTTCCTAAGCTTTGGTCCCCTCCCCTACCTTGGGGAGGTAAATCAATCTCTCTCTCCCCCCATTTTACTTCATAAATAAACTATATTTCCCAATGTACCTTCTGTGCAATTCTTTGCATCTTTCACATGGCATTGGATCACACATCTGGTCTGACCTTTTTAAAATTTTGGAGGCCTTGCTGAGATTCTGACCTAACAGTCTCTTACTTTATATTCCCACATTCCAAAGTTTGTTAATGGTTTGATAGGTATCTTTCCAAACTTTAACTTGTCCTATTATTTAAATACATAATAGTGTTATTATTCAAGAAATAATATTCTTTTCTTTTTTAAGGGCAGTCTAACAAATAACACTGAATCACAAACAAAAAGAAAGTTACAAGGAACACAATTAAAACTTGTCAGAAAGGTCCTCACTGTCTGCTGAGGAATGCTTAGAGTTTGTAGCAGGATTGAATGTTAAAGAAATATAATACATAAACTGAAGTGATTGGGATACCTAAAAAGTAAAAAAAAAAAGTTAATAACATCAAGCATTGGCAAGGGTTTGTGGAAATGAATATTTCCCTCATAAACTATTACTACGAGTGTATATTTGTACAGCCCCAATGTAGAGCAAATTACCAGTATCTATCAAACTTTGACATGTGAAGACTGCATAACCCAGAGAATCAACCATAGAAAATAATTGCACAAATACGCAAAGAGAAATGTTCGAAGATGTTCATTCCAGCTTGCATATGATGGAAAACAAATGGGTTATAACTATGTAAAACTACTCAGGTGTATCTGTACCAAGTTAATTTTTTTAATTAAAAAAAATTTGTTTTAAGCCAGTCTAATTTAGCAGTGGGGGGGTTGTATACCAACTTTACTCACATTAATGTAAGTTCTCATATCATGTAATATTATATAACAGTTTAAAAATATGAAAGTGATTATTGTTAAGACCAATCTTCAGGGTATACAATATTGTATTAAGCGCAGATAAAAATTACTTATATATATGTACTAATATATATTTGCATGTAATTTGAGAAATATAAACATACTACATATGTAATTATATACATGCTACTATGCAAAATAACATATAATGTTTTTGTCTTTATTCTTCATACATATGCATAGTTATATGTTTAAACACATATAAAATGCCTTAAAAGTGAGAATCAAAGGAAATTCTTATCTGTGATGTTATTTATTTATTTGAGTCAGGTTCTCACTCTGTCACCCAGACTAAATTGCAGTGACACAATTATGGACGGCTCACTGCAGCTTTAACCTCCTGTGACAATAAGTAATAAGTGATCCTTCCACCTCAGCCTCCCAAGTAGCTGGGAATATAGGCACAGGCCACCATGCCCTATTCATGTTTTATTTTTTTGTAGAGATCATGTTTCACTATGTTGAACTACTGGGCTCAAGCAATCCTCCTGCTTCAGCCTCCCAAAGTGTTGGAATTGCAGGTATGAGCCACCAAACCCAACTAGTAATGTTAAAATTTTTCAAGAAGAATATGATCAAGTATTATTGTATAGTTAATAAGTACTTTTTAGAAATTCTTTAAAAAGGCAATACTTGCACTGAGTTTAAGGAATTTGTAAAACATAGTCAGGATCCTTATTACTAAAATACCTGTAAGAACAGACAGAATGCATTATAGGGTTCAAGGATAAATATCTAACAAATTCAAGGTAGATCAAAGTAGCATTCAAGGTCTCCTGGTGGGTCATGAAAATACTTTTAAGTGGTCACAAAGTGACATAAATGTGACGATAATTCATACATTTAAGTTTTATAGATACTTTTGTGCTACTTACTGATAATCTAGTATATCGATTAAATTCTAAAATTCCACATGTTCTGTTTAAACAGAGCTAAACGAAAGATATGCAAAGACATCCAGAATGGTATAATGGACACTGGAGACTTAGAAGGGAGGGGGGAGGTGAAGGAGGAACATAAAAAAATCACCTACTGGGTACTATGTGCACAGGTGGGTGTGGTGGGTACACTTAAAGCCCTGACCAAAACTATTTGTACCCCTCCAAAGCTATTGAAATAAAATACAATAAAATGAAATTCAATATCTAGTAACTATATTAATGAGATGTTAATATATTCACAGTATTCAAATTCAGTATCCCATCAGTAAGTCCGAATACCTGATATAATTGATTGGAAATTTTGTGAAACTCCAACTGAGCACAGGAATATCAAGATAGCTGGAATTTCTGTAATTTTCCAAAGGGACATTCTTTTAATTAATGCATCATTTGTAGTGTCTGTATCTTCCATTCGTTAAAGTTTTCCACCTATTCTTTCTTATAATAATAAACATATTTGTAGAATTATTATTGCTTTATTTTGTTAATTATGAGTTTTTGTGTAATTATTTTGTTGTCAGTATGATTTTTTTCCCTTCCGTTTGTTTGTTACCATATAATACTTTTTCTATCAGAAAAAAGTTAGGGTTAGATGGACTTGGGGGGTGTTTTGAGTCGCTTAAATGTATCAAGGTGAAAAAAATAGAGAACTACTAAACTAGGCAATATCTTTAAAACTAAGAATACAAGTGTTGACTTTCATCATATTTATCAGTAATCATTACGAAAAGCAAATTAGTTATCAGAGAAAAAAATAGTACTGGTATTCTCATAGTGTAATTCAATTTTTTTTTCTGTGTAGTTATACAAGCACAGTCCTCAATATGAATTATTATACTATTGAGATGGGAAAAGATATAATGGAAAAGAAGCCTACATAATTCCTTTATATAAAAATTTTAACTTTTCTTTATGTACAGTAATGAAAAAGCTGAAAATGCAGGAGACCAAACATAACTGCTTTCAACATAAAAGATAATGATGAGAACATCAGCTATTGTATCAATTAACAGTTCAATAACAGTTCAGTTTTATAAATCAGTGAGTCAGATATGAAAATCGCTAGTGGATTCTCTTAAAATATAGTGACTATATTTTAGCATTCAAGAAGTATTTTCTTATGAAGAATAAACTTAATGTAAAAGAACTCTGAATTTCAATGTTCAATAACAAAAATGTTGTAAGAAAAAACTGGAGTACAAACAGGTTATAACAAATGTTTATAATAAGAATATGAAAAGTAGATTTTTAAAGTAAAATAAAAATTCCTGTAACTAATTATTCTTTCTGATCCTCTCTTCACCTTTATTTTTTTTTTCACTTTTATTTTTAAAAAATGTTAGAGACACAGTCTTGCTATATTTGCTCAGCCTCGAACTTCTGGCCTCAAGTGATCTTCATGCCTCAGCCTAGCAAGTCATTGAGACTACAGGCCCTTTTTTCATCTTAAAAGTGAATGCATCATAGCATTTTTTTTTCCATTTTTTCAACAATTGTTTGAACACTTGTTATTTCCTGAGAAAATAAAAATGAATCTTATATAGCTCTTGCCTTCAGGAAGCTACATTCCACCAGTTGAGATTGGGGTGGGATATATAAAGGCATATAATATCAACTCAACACTGCAATTGTAATAATAGAAATGTGTATAAGGTATTATGGAAC